GATTCTGAGGATTGTTCTCTAATTCATAAAAAAGAAGATAATGCATCAGACGGTACTTCTGATCACTGATTACTCAATTTCTTTTTATGAACAGAATGGCTAACGCATTGTATGACAAACACATGTGTGGAGAAGCTTGGATTTACCCTTGCAGTGATCATGGCAGTGACTGAAAGTCAGGCTGCTGAAGCACTGGTTAGCCAAGTAAAATAAATTTGGCTGTATTAAACAGAAGTACACAACATTGCATGTACAATCATTCCCTGAAAACGGAAACAAATGTACCAGAGTTGACTAGGTAACAAAGGCAATATCTGTGTAAACCTTGGTCGGGTTGAATGTTAAAATTAAATATTTTATAACCCCTGTCAGTTATTGTTGAATAGCAAAGCAAAAGATAACATCATCAACCATTCTGAAGCTCCAATGTGAGTTCATTAACGTTGTATCCTGATAAATAAAAATACCTTATTTTCCTGCATATAAGACTACTTTTTAACCTGCAAAATCTGTGGTTAAAGTGGGTGGGTCGTCTTATACGCCGGGTATAAGGATAAGGAGGATAGAGGTGCTAAAACTCTTATATTTTGACTGGAAAAATGGGGGGGTCGTCTTATACGCCGGAAAATACGGTACCCTTTTTTTTAACGTTTAGTATTGCAAGCTGTGTAACAATCACTTGGAATTACTGTGTAATGTGACAGTGGCTCATCATATGGAAGAACAGGTTGCTTACCTGTAACTGTGCTTCTTTGAGTGGTCATCTGTGCCTTCACACAAATGGGTTTGCACCTGCACAGAGACTCCTCTTATGGAATGAAAAGTTACTAATAGACCAATACTAACTCTGTAGTCCCTTGCTCCAAAGTCAGAGTGCTGAGTACTTTGGACTCCATGTTGGACTCTTAGCAAAGCAGGAGGAAAAGAATTTTCCTCCCACTTTTCTTTTTAAAGGTCAGTTTTAAATCCAGAGCCTAGGCTGGTCTAAACTGTCACCTTGGTTAGGGTTATGGTCTGAGGGGAATGGTTCCAGAATTTCTCCTGACCCCATGTTAGAATTTCATCATAAGAAAAGAGAACATTGGATGGTTCCATGTGAGAAGAGATGATGATGATGATGATGATGATAAATCAAACTCTGCATCCAACTGTAACTTATTTTCAGTGTATGCTATCGCCCTTGCAATGCTGCCTTGTAGACAAGAGGTTTACATTTTCACACATGCATCTGGAAGTTACAACTTCACAATTTTTATTTGAAATACAATGTGCATTTTAAAACCTACCACTTATTTCTTTGTGCATTAAAACTGCTTTGAAATGACACATAAAATTTCTGAAACATTCTGCATGTCTTTTTTGGTGCAATTAAGTTATTCTGAAATAAGAACAATTGGAATTAAAAAAAATAAAACTTAAGAGCCACTCCAATAGTTTAAGAATATTTTATCACTAACAGACTTCAGAATTCCAAAATACCAAAAAATACCAAAATATTTAAAAACCCCAAAATATATTAGGGAATTGTGTAATACTACAACACATTTTATGTCACATGACCTTTTATAATTATTATGCATGAGATACAATGGCATTATTAAGTATAATTCTAAATTTCTTTACTCTCATGTCTGAAACAAGAACTTTGTTTTGTTTTTTGTTCTGATTGCATTGTGGTATTATTAGCATTTTTTGTTTCATTTCACTCATAATTTTCACTGAAACAGTACCATCAGATCTGGACCTCAAACCATGATGTAATATTAACAGAGAATAACCATCACATTCATTAATACTAGGAAGCAATTTAATAAAAACATTACTTTGAAAAAAATCAACACAGTGACTACACAGTACTATTATATATTACAGATTATCATAAAATAAATTGTGGCTTTAAGAAGCACATCATAAGTGCACTGAAAGTAATGACAAATAATAATTCATGCAACTCTGTTCCAGTATAACTGGAACATCAGTGACTGCATAATGAAAGCCAAGAAATGTCTGCCAAAATGCAGGCAATATTCAACAAGAACTGCCCTCATGCAGTGTGTGCAATGAATGCTGGGATATGGAGGAAAAGAGGAAGTTGACCTAACATCCCCACAATGACTGATATATGCAAGGGCGGAAGAAAATCAGATTATGCACAAATAGAGAGTTTCCATTCCCAAAACTATGACAGCATTTCTGCATGGATAGCAGCCACAGGACACAATCAAAATAAAATCCCATGCTAAATGTGTTTTTCCAGCCTCCAAATTAAGCATAACTCATGGTGCTCTTGAATGCCTAAATACACTGTATAAGGCTGGCAAAACTCTGACAAACCAAACCCAATTAATAATGAGGAATAGTAAAATTCTTACAGTAACCTTTTTCCAGGTCTCGTTTCCTTTTTAAATAATTTCAATCTACTAAAGCAGGGGTAGGCAACCTTTTTGAGCCGGGGGCCGGGTTGCTGTCTCTCAGACAATTGGGGGCCCGAAACACCAAAAATAAATAAATAAATAAATAAATAAATATACATAAAAATTTTAAAAAAACTTAAAAAAATTTTTTTTTAAAAAAATAAAAAATTAAAAAATATATGCATGCACACTCTCAGCCCCAGAAGAGCCATGGCAAAACCCCTGTGGAGATTTTGCCAAGAAAACCCCAAGAACAAGTAATAACAACAATAATCAATATCATCATGGTGGGTGGCGGCGGCGGCGGCAGGACCGGCCTGAGGCCGGTCCAAAGGCCTCGGGGGGCCACATCCGGCCCCTGGGCCTTAGGCTGCCTACCCCTGTACTAAAGTCTCACAGTAAGGCAACTATATACAAGTGTTTTTTTCACTACTTGATCTAGCAATGTTGTATCAATTTCAGTGTTTGAGTGCTTACTCAGAGATTTTTTGCTGCATTCCATCTATCAACTTTTGAGTTAACTCCCTTTCATGGTGGTGGTGGTGGTGATGGCGGGGTGGTGGTGGGGGAAGTCAATTTGGCTAAAAAGGCAGTAATTCACTTAAAGCAACAAAGTGGTTTTCTTGGAAAAACAGGAATTTGAAACCAACCCCCAAGTTCCACACATTATTTAGTGAAAAAGCTATGACAGTTTATACAAAAAAGTAAAGCATTAATGAATCCCCTAATACCTACTCTCTCTCCCTCTCCACAACAACTAACTAGGTGGTGCATATCTAACATGTGGCTCTTTCAACCACACCTGAATAGATCAGGTTCACTATTCTCCCCTGTTAGGGAGCAATCCTAAACTAGTGGCAAAAGTGGTCGAGGAACTTGACCAACCTGAACTCTTGCAATCTTGTCAGATTTTAAAAACTAACCAGGCTTTGTCTTGGCTAATACTTGATGGAAGGCCACAAAAAAATACCAGGTTCCTCGTTGGAAATCCTTCTTGAAACCTTTGAACTGGCAAACTGGGCCAGAAGGATAAATGGTCCAGCACAGCTTCCTAAGTACATAAAGTTACTAAATGGCATTCCTCTCGTTAAATAGAGGAAGTTCACTTCTAGAGGCTTCTTCCCTGGAGCAGTAGCAAGTTCTAACCATGTTCTCTTCTGCCAGCAGAAGGGGCAAAGATCATCCAGATGTAAAACCCTTCATTCCCTTGAAAACTTGTATCCTCTAGAACAGGGGTAGGCAACCTTTTTGAGCCGGGGGCTGGGTTGCTGTCCCTTAGACAACTGGAGGGCCGAAGCACCAAAAATAAATAAATAAATATGTTTTAAAAAATTTTTTAAAAATGCATGCACACTCTCTCAGCCCCAGAAAAGCCATGGCAAAACCCCTGTGGAGATTTTTCCAAGAAAACCCCAAGAACAAGTAATAACAACAATAATCAATATTATCATGGCGGGTGGCGGCAGGACCGGCCTGGGGCCGGTCCAAAGGCCTTGGGGGCCGCATCCGGCCCCCGAGAGGTTGCCTACCCCTGCTCTAGAAAAAAGTAGAAATGTATTCTAGCTCTGAGGATATTTATTTCCTCTTCCACTGAGCCATTGTACTGCCTGCCACAAAACTATCAAGCTATGTTCAAAGTTGATTTCTTGACATATCAAGACCTGAACACTTTTTGAGACCAGGATACACAGCAGAGCATGTTCCACATATATGCCCAGTCAACTGCAGCAGAAGCTGTAATGGCTGTTCTACAGCTAATGCCATGGCATGACATCAAAAGGCTGGGACACCCCAGTGGTCTCACCCAGCCTTTGAAGCTTTCTCCACAGGATGAGAGGGAGACACTGTATTCTTATGAACACCTATTGAAAACATATTCATGCAAGCTGATAAAGGCTTTTTTCTGTGCTATTGTTAGTTCCAATTTATTATATTTACAAACTGTTTTTGGGGGAGACAGCATGGTATAGTGGTTTTCGTGTTGGGTTATGACTCTGGAGACCAGGGTTCAAATCTCTGCTCGGCCATGGAAAACCATGGATGACCATGGGCAACTTACATTCTCTCAGCTTCAGAGGAAGGCATAGGTAAACCCTCTCAAGATTTGCCAAGAAAACCCCATGATAGGTTGCCATAAGCTGAAAATGACTTGAAGGCCCACAATAAGAACAACAACAACATTGTTTTTATTATACAGTATTTGGATATGTGTTTCAGTGTAAACCACTTAGAGATTTTATAATATCAAGTGGTATAAAAATATAATCTGGGGAGGACTTTGGTTTTTAAAAAGCAACAACCAGTGGAGATTTCCCATAGCCAATACAAAGCCAGTAGGGCTCAGGAGCTGGTGGTTCCTCTTTTACAGACTCTCCTCCAGTCCAACATGTCAGTTCTGTCAGAGTGAATTTCCCAGTCTGGTCTCCAGAGAGGATAGGCACCATGTCAAATTTGGCTAAGCATAAAGTACGGCTGCTGTTAACCATGTTTACGCTTGTTAACCATAACATCCTTGACACCAGTTTTAAAAGAAAGATAGCATTGTACTATTTAAGGCATTAAGGCTAACATCGAACATAGTAGTGCCAGAACTTCTGCCCCTTGCTCCCTTCCCCATTTCCAGTAGCCCTCGACCATTGGAAAACTAGCTCCAGGCAGTTTTGCAGCCTCTCAGAAGAGGTTTTTAGGGTGCGTGGTGGACTGCAAGAGAAAGAGACTACCCTGTTCCCACTTCCACTGTTCCACTAGTGTTAGAGCCTGTTCTAAGAATTTTGTGAATGACAGACACAAGAATATTTTGCTTAAAACACATACAAAAACCAATTCTATGCACATGTATATCTTGAGCTTTTGAGAACTGATATAAGTGCAACACAATTTTGACAGCTCAGTTTCCCTTCATATTTAATATTTTTCGCTGCTAGCATGTCACAAAGCATGTTATATATTATACAATATTTCTTTCAAGTAAAGCAAAAAAAAAAAAAAAATAGTCATTCTCTACCTCAGTGGTTTGCCAACTGAAAAATCCCAGACTCTCTGAATATCAATTAGTAGATCTGTAGATTCACAAATTATATAAATATTATGCCATCTAAAATAGATTTTTGGATGGGACGGTGTTGGGGAATGGCTTTTATGGGCAACTTGTTTTTCAGTGCCCTAAGCACAACCTCTTTTCGCATAGCCTCCATTACCTGACATTGGTTTGTTAACTATGCAGAATTTTTTCCATTACCATAGCAACATTGCTTGAGCATTTAAAGGTATGTATGCAGACTAAAAGGATGGCAAAGCTTCTAACAGTAAGGTAAGAAGTTATATATTTCAGTTGATAGTATAAAGGATGGCAAAGCAATATTAAGGAACGAACTTATTATTTGTTATGTTTGGTTTTGGAACCTGACTCTCCTCCATACAATGAATAAAATTCAGTTGAAGGATAAATAGAAGTAAAATTATTAATATAACCCCTTTCCTATATTGCAGGGATTAAAAAAACACCAAAATATTAAATACTTCAAAGTCTTATCATTTTCTGTTTAACGTAACTATGCTCAGGCTCAGCAACTCGAAACACAGTAAAATATGTCATTAATCATTAATTCCAGTGTTTTGCTCCCCCCCCC